ATAAAGAAGCCTAACAGACACAAACTTTCAGCAGCAATGAGCGTGATGCATTTTGCTTTCACACAGATAATTAATTCTGCCTTGTCCTCGTAAGAACAACACATCACTACAATGCCTCCCTCTCTGTCTTCTCTTGAACAAGAAGGTGTCCAGTGGCAGGCCTATATTTAGGGCCCTGCCAAGACATTAAATTTACAATCCAATTGTCCTGAATTGGAAGAAACAGTCCCACTTAATCCTCATCACATTTTTTCAGTTGCTATAAAACTATACCAGCTTCTCCCTAACCGCATTGTTACCTCTCTGCCCCTAGCTTTGTTCAGTTGTGCTTTGATTGTGATTTTTCTGAATGGCAAGGAGTTGGAATAGATGGCCCACATGGTCTCTTCCAACTCTCTAATTCTGTGATTCTGTGATTTATTACAAACTGTGTTCAAAGTGCAAAAGAAGTATATACTTGATTTACTCAGCAAGGGGGAAGGGAAAGGAAGGAGAAGAATCTTGGTCCTGACTATTTGAGCAATCGCATCTCCTCTTACAAACCAGACAGGTCACTATGGTCTGTGGAGGCGGCCTGCTCTCGGTCCCAACTGCATCTCAAATATGGCTGGTGGGAATGAGAGAGAGGACCTTCTCTATGGTTGCCCCCCACCTCTGGAACTCCCTCTCTAAAGAACTAAAGCTGGCACCCTCCACCTCTCCATTAAAAAACAATTGAAGATCTATTTCTGCTCACTAGCATATGGAGAGGAGGAGGATTAGAAAATAAGAGATCACTACCAGGCCTTGCTTGAGAACTATTTTGTATCTGGGCTCTGCTAGTTCATGTCAGCCCAATTACCATCATTGGCCACACAACCAACCCACACACCTCCATGAGCTCCAGTTGTCTTCTGTCAATTAAGGCTGGATGTTTGTTCAGATTTTATGTCCTTATATAATTTTTGTCTGGCTACATATGTTCAATTTATTGATGTTAGATTTAATTTGATGTTAGGTTTTATATTGTTTTCATCTCTTAGTCTACATGTTCTTTCTTCCTTTATCCATCTTGACCACACACTGATGTTGCTTTCCCCACACTTGCTCTATTTGTCATTTGTAAAATAAAGGACAGCATGCACTACAGACAACAAAAATTATAAGCCCATAACATTACCAACACCTGAGCGGAATCAAATCCAGCAATCAATGATCATCGGAGGACTTTCGGATTGCATGGTGTATTGGCAATGAAATTAACTTCCATAAGAAACAGACACATGACCACATACAACGCTTATCAGATTGCAGAAAATTCTAAGTGTTCAGTGTACTTACTCATGGTTCTTTTTAAAAAGCTGATCCAGCTTTCTGCTGATTGAATTGCTTTTATGCAAGAAAAACTATCTTCTGTTGATTGGCCTCAAAAGTCAGCTGGCAGAAAGATCTGCTAGTGGAGTCCAAAACATCTGGAGGGCAGCAGGTTGTGCAGGCCTGGCATAGACAGTGGAAACATAATATGCCGAGTACCTTCAATGTTGCATTTCTTTTCAATAGTGCAGTTGTACTCATTTGCCATTTCATAGTCCCGCAATCGTACTTCTCCACACCTAGTAATATTAACTTCCTGCACTATTACAGTTTTTTTATTATTATTATTTTCATGTTTAACACAATTCTGTAATGTCAGCATTTTTTAAATAAAAGCAAAGATACAGTATACATAAATACATAAATAATAAAAGAAAAACAGTAGATGGAGAAAGGTCAAGAGTCTCCAATTCCCTGACATCACATCACTGCTGGCAAATTAGCACAGCTGCCCAGTTTGGCTTTAAAAAGAAAGTTAAGGAACTTATCTGAGCCTGGCTCCTGTTCAATTTCCAAATGAAAAAGGCAGCAATGGCCAGAGGAACAATGCTGCATGAGAATATAATCCTCATAGGTATACAGGGCCCCCTGGTAGTGCAGCAGGTTAAACTGTTGAGCTGCTGAACTTGCTGACTAAAAGGTCGGTGGTTCAAATCCGGGGAATGGGGTGAGCTCCCGCTGTTAGCTCCAGCTTCTGCTACATGCAAATGTGAGTAGATCAATAGGTACCTCTTTGGCAGGAAGGTAACGGTGCTACATGCAGTGATGTTGGTCACATGACCTTGGAGGTTCCTACGCACAATGCTGGCTCTTTGACCTAGAAATGGAGATGAGCACGACCCTACTGAGTTGGACACAACTAGACTTAATGTCAGAGGAAACCTTTACCTTTACATAGGCATGCCTGGGACCTAAATAAATAAAGAATAGCATTGTTGCCATGAGGTATTCTGCCCAAAGTGCACAACAGACTGGGATTAGACTGAATGCTTTTGCTTAAAAGAGGAAGCAAAGGATGAAGGAAGAAAGGATGCTAATTTGGTACCTATACATCTGTTCCTGTCTTCATTTGAAATTAGATTTCTCTCTCTCTCTTTGGAAAACTAGTCACTTTGATATTTTTCCCTCATTTAAATGGATTTTTGATTAACATCTCTTAATGCTGGATACACTACAAAAGTGCTATATTGTGAGATTTTCTTTTCTTGGCTGGAAATTATTCTGGCAGAAGTACTGTTGTGAAATGCAAACGATTAGGCGACCCCTGTTTTCTTAACTTCAAAGTTTTGTTAGAAAACTATCACTGGCAGGTGCTAAAACTGAAAGGCAGAAAAGCGATAATTCTCTGAGAAAAGCCAGTCATCATATAGAAACTCTGATTAAATTTGGTAGTGTTTAAAACTCTAGTGAGAACCGCTTGAGGGCGAACATATGACCTCTTGAGCTGTATTAAACTGGCATTCAATTAAGCTACCTTTTAGTTTAGGGTTGACAAGCAGTATGAAAGAGGGCAAAGGATATCCCTTTTGTTGCTTTTCTGGGCAATATTTCCTGATTAAAAGACTCACAGGTTTCTCTGCATTTTGGAATTGATTCTACCTTTTCGGACTCCAGACGACCTTCCTCCCATTCTCTAACCTTTGTATGGCTTTACATTCATTAAAAATACAGAAATAATTCAAGTTCACACTGAAACAGAACATCCTCCTGAGAGAAAGATAAGATTACTGCTTGTATTTCATAAATAATGATAAGTTAAGGTATTCTTTTAAACTCTCTATCAACTTTTGAATGAAACAAATGATTTTTGTGAATTTTGTTGATCATGCAGCTGTCTAGAAATAAGTTCTACTGAATTCAGTTGAAGGTGTTCAATGGATCTATAACTTACAACAAGATTAACCTTACAAGCTGAGTTATCCTTCCCCCTTCAGTCTCATTTTTAACTTCAATCATAAAAAATAAATAACAAAAATCTCTCTCCACAGTTTACCACTGGTCAAACTACCTGGGATATCTGGGTAACAATGTGTATAGTTGGTGTAAGATGTCTGCTCCTTGGTCCAGAATCAGAAATGGTATCCCCTCACACTTAGAGAGACATCCATCCAACTTGTTGTAGAGCCATGGCAACCCCCCCCCCCCCCGCAAAAAAAAAAAAAGATTTATAGAACATCAAAAGCCTCCATGCAAGATTTTTATTTTATTATTAAAACATTTCTGCGGCTCCAGAGTTGTGAAAGGTTGAAGTGCTAGATGCTCTGGAATGGACCTAGCAGCAGCTGTACCCTAAAACTGTATAAAGGTAGTCCCCTGACATTAAGTCCAGTCATGTCTGACTCTGGGGTGTGGTACTCATCTCCATTTCTAAGCCGAAGAGCCAGCGTTGTCATGTGGCCGGCATGACTGCATGGAGTGCCGTTACCTTCCCACCGGAGCAGTACCTATTGATCTACTCACATTTGCATGTTTTCGAACTGCTAGGTTGGCAGAAGCTAGGGCTGACAGCGGAAGCTCACGCCGCTCCCCGGAATCGAACCTGCGACCTTTCGATCAACAAGCTCAGCAGCTCAGTGCTTTAACCCACTGCACCACCGGGGGCTCCTTAAAACTGTATAGACTGTATCAAATAAAATGTATCAAAATGTATCTAGGACGCAGCTACTGTTCCATGCCCCCAGTTTGCATAATCCCTTGGGAAAGGAAATCACAGCCAGAGTCCCTCCGGCTATTTCCCAAGACAAATAAATATCAAAACTTTTGTGTATGTATGCAGATAAATGATCCCCCTTTGTCACCAGAATAAGCTCAGGGTATTTGTTCATTCAACTTGAGATTGAGAGTCTGCCACTCCTGAGAAAGAGAGGGCTCAACAAATATGAATACATCAACTCTCTATAGGGGCAGCCAAACCTTTGATTCTTTGGAATCACCACCTTTGTCATTTGGGTCTTGCAACTTTGTTTCACATGGAACTAGACACTTGAGTTAATCAGGGAATCATTAGCATATCCAAATCACCATTTCCTCCTGGCTTGTGCCCTCAAAGGGGCGTCTCTACAACAGATTGGTTCTTTAAACTAACAAACAACCAGTTATTCTTCCCACCACAGGAATCTCCTCCTGAAGGCTGTGACGTCAAAGGAAACCTAGGTAATCTAGGCATGGAATCTGGCCTGCCTTTCTTTCAGCCAATCAGAGGAGGGAGCAGGCAGTCTGAATAGCTGTCAGAACTCTATAAGACGTCTTGTAGTTTTCTGTGAGATTATGCTTGCATTTTTTTGAAGCATATTGCTTGTACTTGCATCTTTTTTGGCCAAACTATGATAAACCTTTGTAGCTTTGCCTTCAATCTGGACAGCTTGTTCTCTGTCCTGGCTGATATGGTTTCACAGATGCTCAGTGGGAACAGACATCTTGAAATACCTAAAATCACTACAAACTAATGGTTGTTGGTGTTGGGTGCCTACAAGTCCTTTCTAACTTATGGTGACCCTATAACAGAGTTTCCTTGGCAAGGTCTGGCTACTCATGTTGGTCAGGGCATTCTGGAGGTTGTAGTTCAAGAAATAACTGTCGAAGTAGTGAGCATGATGTACCTCAGTTGTAAATATAATATCTATTGTAAATTTAAAAAGGGGATCTGATGATTGTTCAATTGTTTAATCTTCATTATTGCACCATTTACAAAATTAAGCGTTATAAAATACAACATGTTGCAACAGACATGATAAGCACTTGTCCAATGGAAGAAGAGATAAATCCACTATTGATATATTTCTCCAAATATTCCATAAACTTGTATTAAGTTTGTTTCCTACTTCCCTGAAAGCAGAGCTTGAAGAATGAATGTTTTGCTAAACAATGCAATATTACAAGGAGAAAGAAATAAGTATAAGCACTCTAGGTAATTTTCCAGAGAAATACCTCTTCAGAAACTAATTGACTAATTTGTTTGAATACATTAAATTGTTCTTGGAAACTAAAGAATTAACATTGCCGCTTACAATCTTAAATCTGTTTGTCATTTATAATATTGTATTAAATAAACAGGAAGGAAGGACATATTCAATAACGGGGGAGTGTGTGCGATGCCCGACAGTGGTTGAACATAAATACAATTTTCAAAGAAAATAAGTTTGACAATCAATGCATGGAGAAACATTATTTTACAAGAAACTCAGAAAAAAAACAATGCTAGTTTTGTTCTTTGAAAAAATATTGTTGATGAAAGCAGTCTTTGCACCAGAGAGCAGCCTGTAAAAGAATGTTTGTTGACACTTTGTTCTTTATTGTGGTGAACAGAACACATCGAAAAGGCAAATTCGGTTCCCTGCAGAAATCAAGATGTATTGTCAGATCTCTGAGCAACCCAAAGGGAAAATGATCAAATACGCTGTAGTCCTTCTAATGTAGAAAACTCGATGCTAAGAGTGCAAATTAAATACAATCTTCTATTATAAAATACCCCTCCATTATTAGCAGTCATATGTTTTTGGTGGAGTTGTACCTACACATCAAAGTCTGTGTTTCTGTGTAAGCGAAATATGCTGCCGGAGCAAAACAATGCCTCATGAGGGAAGTGCTTTCTCTCTTCCAAGCATTCAGGGATGTATATTTCACGCTCCTGCACTGCAAATACCATGTCAAACAGATGGTCTGACAATCTGTAACAGCAGCACTGTGCACGAATCTTTGGACAGGGGTCTATATATAAAACAGTCTAAGCCCATTCATTTCTTTTTAATTGCAAGTGCTGCTTTGCGCAAAATTCACACCTGTTGCCTGAAGTCTTCCTTATTAGAGCACTGACATTTCTATATCTATAGCCAAATCACTCGAAATATGCATAAAAAAGTAACACTAAAGCTTCTCTGTCATGGCTCTTGGCAAGGCCATGTTAAGCGTTACCAGCCTTTGTAGGTAAATGTCCTTCTGTCAGCAATTATTTGCTAAGGCAAGTAACAAGGTGGCCCTAACTGAACACAATTCAATCTGTCTGCACTGCTCAGACATTAATTATCCATTCAGGCATTGGTGTCCTTTTGTATGTATTGTGTACAGCAAAAGAAATCCACCACATCTGAATTCTGCAGGCACTCCATCTTGCTGTAAAGTCAAATGTCTCCCACAGCTAGTGGCCATTTGTTTTCTCCTGGAAAAAATTTATGTGCAGTTCTTCTTCGGTCCCTTAAGCTTTGCAATTTAAAAATGATGCGCATAAGAAATGTGTGTCTTGTGATGGCATCATTCCTGGGACTGTCATGCAGGTGGAAGATTGGTCTTGTAGAACAGACTTCTTCTTTTGGTGGAAGTAAATGTGTTCTTTGGATCATATCTGAGATCCCAGGTGAGGCTAAAAAGTCAAAGGGAATCTCTTCTTCTGAGTGAGCTGAAGGGTGCTGTAAGTAGACATACTTATTCCAAACATGCCCAGGAACACAGCTGCCCGTTGCATCAGGTTGTCTGTTGTGTTGATCACTATTTTCCCAGCTGCTTGGGTCTGCAAGAAAGAAGATCGAGGCACATATTGAGTTTTCAAAGTGAAGAAAAGCATTTTAACAACATGAATTTTTTTTGTCTACTACAACCAAATGTTGCAATATATCTACTCTCTCATGGATCCACCAGTCCATGCTCTCTATGTAAGACATTGCAATCCCACCAGCCTTTTGGAATCCATTCAGCCTTACAAAAAACATTCCACATTTCATGCCTACCAAACATGCTCTATCTTCACTGGGCTCACTATGTGTGTTTTGGGCGGAAGTACTGACCACATAGGGCAATACATCCATTATGTTTCTGAGGGATCTCATTTTGGATCCAGTTCTTGTTAGCACTCAACCACTTAAATTTTAAACTATCAAGAGAGTGATGATATCCAATTCATCCCATCACCTTTCACTGCCTATATGTACTGTAAATCCAAACAATGACAAACTGAATATTCAGCCTATGATAAATTATCCTTTGGGGCAGTATGCGCAGCTGGATTGGATCTAATTCATCCTGATTCAGTATCCAGATGGGACACCAACATCATCAACTTTTCCTTATCAGTGCAGAGAAAGGGCATGATGAATCATGGCCATGTTGCTGCCTCTCCTAACTGGCTACAGAACTCCATAAAAGCTCCTGACTGTGGCAGGTGCCTTTGCTGATATCAGAACAGGGTGCTCGGGCAACCAGCATGAAGAAGGGGGCAAACTCACGTGCTTCCTGATTGTGAATGTGCCCCATTTTGACACTGACTGATGCACTTGCATGACCAGGAGATCTTCCCTCCTTCTTCCTACTTGTGGAGAGATCTATGCCAATACTGGAACATGGCACCTATGCCATCAGAAAAAAGGATCCTGCTGGTTATGTGGTATCCCTAATGACTAGAAGCTTCATGGCTCGCCAAGAACGGCAGTGGTGGTGGCAACATGGCAGCTGTGCTCCGTAACTATGTGAATAATGTTCATAAATTTGACGTGAATGTGCCAGATCCCAAGTTATTCATTGGGTTAAACCTTGTGTCTGAAGACCGACAGGTTGTAGGTTCGAATCTGGGAGAGCATGGATGAGCTCCCTCTATCAGCTCCAGCTCCCCATGCGGGGACATGAGAGAAGCCTCCCACAAGGATGGTAAAACATCAAAACATCCGGGCTCCTCTGGGCAATGTCCTTGCAGATGGCCAATTCTCTCATACCAGAAGTGACTTGCAGTTTCTCAAGTCACTCCTGACCTAGAAAAAAAAGTTACTCCGTGGCACATTTACACCAACTAAACTATCCAGTGTAGCAGAGCTGGTTGAGTCATAAGTTTGGCCATTATCTATTATCTCTTAGAGTAAGGAACTGGCAAAACCACCTCTGAGGATTCCTTATCCAAGAAAACACGATGAAATTCATAGAATCATAGAGGTGGAAGAGACCACATGGGCCATCTAATCCAACCCCCTGCCATGCAAGAAAAGCACAATCAAAGTATCCCTGACAGATGGACATTCATGGGAGTCACCATAAATTGACAGGTGACTTGAAGGCACATATGTGCACATCCAGCTACAAATGGGAAAGAGTTACAGAAGCTGAGTTTTATCCAAATTTCCCAGATATAAGTTATGTAATACTTGCCCTCTTTCTGCAAATATGATCCTGGCATAGCTGTGCTTATAAAGTCTCACTTTGAAAGAAGCCTTTATCACATCTGAAGAGCTTTTGGAACAACTTTCCCATAGCCCTCACAGGCCAGGTTCATCATTATTCTACGTAAGTGTAAAGCATGCAAGTTATGGTTTCATCCTTGATGAATGTTTCAATGCATTGCAAACAAAGATTCATAAAGACATGTAGAAGAATATAAGAATCCAAGTTAATAAGAGACAGAGGGGTGCAAGGTGACAAGAAAGTCATTCTCTATTGTGTTGCCATAGAAACCATCACTCTGCCTTTTTGCTTGTATGATAAACTATTCTGCCAAGACCTGTGGGACTTCCTGCTCAAGCAACAGAGGGGTGCCGTAAACGCCATAAAACTGCCCTCCAGGCCTTCATCTTTTATGCTGCAACCCTGGCCGCTTGCATTCTGCGGCTACGCTCTTTCCGTGTACACAGCAAAATAAATTAGTTCCCCTGTGATTCTTCTGTATTGGCTCTAAATTGAGAACATCATCAACAAAGTCAGCAATATCTCTCCATTTGCCAGCGCTCAAGGATTTCAAAACCTGCCATATGGATGTTATTGACATTTTCTTCAGATTGTAATGCCACAGTGTTACATCAGTCCGCTCAGAAGAAAGTCCCACTGCATTTAATGACACTTCCATCAAGATCAGCTGGGGAGACCCTGCTCTCTGTCCCAAGCCCTTTGCAAGTGTGATTGGTTGGGACAAGAGACAGGACCTTCTCAGTGGTGGCTCCTCGGCTGTGGAAATCCCTCCTCAGTGACATCAGGCAGGCCCCATCCCTCCTGGATTTTAGAAAGAAACTTAAGACCTGCCTTTTTACGCAGACATTTGGTGAATAGGAAACTACGGAATGAGACTTGAACAGCATGAATAATGGACTATTAATTATGGGAAACGATTTGGATATGAGACCATGACATGACATTTTATATGTAGTTTTTAATCTGTTTGATAGATTGGTAAGAGTTTAAATTGTTTATATGCCAATATATATATATATATATATATATATATATATATATATGGAGCCCCCAGTGGTGCAGTGGGTTAAAGCACTGAGCTGCTGAACTTGTTGACCGAAAGGTCGCAGATTCGAATCTGGGGAGCGGCATGAGATCCCACTGTCAGCCCCAGCTTCTGCCAACCTAAAAGTTCGAAAACATGCAAATGTGAGTAAATCAATAGGTACCGCCCAGCGGAAAAGTACCGCTCCAGCGGGAAGGTAACAGTGCTCCATGCAGTCATGCCAGCCACATCTTGGAGGTGTCTAAGGACAACACCGGCTCTTCAGCTTAGAAATGGAGATGAGCACCAACCCCCAGAGTCAGACACGACTGAATTTAATGCCAGGGGAAAACCTTTACTATATACTTAGATTGCTTATATTTTATGAAATGTGTTTTATTGTTACCTGTGCGGCATTGCATTTTTGCCGGATTGGTAAGCCTCTTTGAATCCCCTCTTGGGTCCAGAAAGGAGGGTAGAAATGAAGTAAACAATAAATGTGGTGTATGGTAAAAGATTGTTTTGAGTTCAGTGGGGTATACAACCCTCACTAAACCTCTTTCCCCACTATTTAAAGATGATAGGACAATATGAGACTATGAGACCATCCCCACTGGAGAATGCTAGCAGTTCAACACCATATAAACTTCCATGGCTCCATCCTATGGAATCCGTAGTTCAGTGGTTCTCAACCTGTGGGTCCCCAGATGTTTTGGCCTTCAACTCCCAGAAATCCTAACAGCTGGCAAACTGGCTGAGATTTCTGAGAGTTGTATGCCAAAACACCAGGGGGCCCACAGGTTGAGAACCACTGCTATAGTTGGTTGTGGCACCATAGCTTTCTGACAGAGAAGGTGAAATATCTCACAAAAATGCAAACTCCAGAATTTTATAGCATTCGGCCATGCTGAGTAATGTACTGTCAAACTGCTATAATTTTGCAGTGTTACATAAATTGAGGTTTTTTTGCACAATGGGATACTCTTTTCCTCTCATTTCTTATTCAGAGCCCCCAACTTCCTCCCAGAAGTTCCTCTGCTTTTCCAGAGCCATTCTTCAGTTTTCACTTGAAGGACACTCTGAGGTCTGTAGTCGGTGTGCAAATTTGTTGCATCAGTGGTGTCAATTCCATGGACGGGTGGACTCAATACCATAGTTATTGTTTAACTTTCACCCAGGTAGAATTTTTTAAATGCTCTTAGGTAGTTTCCAACTTTGAGGGAACTCTAATATGATGAACTTTAGCTTTAATTAATATCACAGATGGGAATGCTAAGATTAGTGTTAGCGTCAAAGTTAACTTTATACATTTTTGTTTCCTGAATCTGGGACCTAAAAAACTCCCAAAGACACCAGATCCTGTCTTGAAAACTAAGTAGGCAAGTACTTGGATAGGAAGGCAAACAACAAATAACTAATAACACCATCTATGAATATTTTTGTCTAACAAAAGGCTATAAAATTCATGACATTGTCACAAATTGACAAGCAATTTGAAGACACATATAGACCAAATTTCCTGAATTAATAGAATATATGTATATATATCTTCCCACCCAACTTTATTGGTGGGATCAAACACGACAGGAAGCATTTCGATTGTTGGTAAATCCATTAGGTGGTTTTGGGCAAGTCCAATTCTCTTAAATCTTCTCTGAAAAGGTCTTACCCAGAAAACCATGTAAATGCATCATAATAAATCACAGTGAACATGATGACCCATAATAGATGGATGGACAGAGATAGATAGGAGAGAGAGTAATGGAGGGGGAATCAAGCAAGAGAAATTTGGAGAACTCTATTTTCAACTTCATGTTTCATACTTTATATATCTACATCTGTTTTGAATTCTGCAAGAAAATACGATTCCTGGGGAGCAAAACATCTTAAACCGATGAGAACTAAGAAATTATAACATACGTATAAAGTGCAATGTACATGTTCTTGCCTTTTGTAGCGTAGCAAGACACCAATGGTCAACATTTTTAAATAAATGCACTCCCCAGCGAAGATTTGATCAGACATCTATGAATTTAGCTGCACCAAATCAGTTATTGTTTTTGCTGGTACACGTATTGCAAGCTTTCCGAGCTAAAGAGAGGATTTCTAAAACATAAGGAGGGAGGGCAAGAGAAATTGATATCTTACCTGCAGTAATCTTATATATCCTGGTGTGATCCTCCGCAGATGGATAATCATTTTATCCAACTTTTTGGGGGTGATGTTCAACTTCTAAGACTTCTGCCTTTTTATACCATTAGTGAGTAAATGACACCTTAATGCAATCTCGCAGATGTACCAGAGGTATGCATTATAACCAACATAATTAGATTGAAGACCTAACGAACAGTGAGACAAACATGCGTTTTCCACCCCAGTCCTGGGTATAGTTCTTCCCATTAAGATTTGCCCATGCCAATGGTCTATGGATATATAAAGCCCTTCCAATTATATAAGCCTTCACATGTGATCCATCTACAAAGCTTAAGTATTGGCAGAAGGCCTTAAATCTCCTGCCTGGAGCAAGGTATGTCTCCAATATTGGAAAACTCTCTTGGTATGTCCCAAGCTCATTAAGAAAGCAAATCAAAAGCTACCCAGCTTTAGAACAAAGAGGTCTAAGCCTTTCCCTTCTCTATAGATAGAAAGGTTAATGTTTATAAACTGTACTGAAAATAAAGGAGAGGGGGAAAGGAGGTCACTGAAGAGCTGTGACAATGCAAATTGGATTCTACTGATTTAATGTAGCATAAGGCCAAGGGCACCCCAGTGGTCTGTCTATGCATGGAGGTTTTAAGAGGATGAACACAGATTACTGCCTGATAAACAACCTGTGTAGGTGTGGAAAGGTGAAGTGTTTCCATTTTTCTCCTGCTAAACACATCGCTAGTGCCAGTTCTCATTTTCTACTGCTAAAGTATTAATCCACTTCTTTTGAGCCTGGACACTTCCCTGCTGTGCGACTTACCATATATAGTTCTTTTAAAAATAATGACCACTCAAGGCAATGATGCGCTGCCATTTTGGAGTCCCAACTGAGAAACCAGGGACACTATCCAAGGACAAAGTAGGATGGTTTCTTTAAAATCAGGCAACTCAGCCTGGTAAGTTGTCTGGTCTCCTACATCAGCCTTCCTACTTCATAGATTGAAACAACAATCATAACAACCCTACCCATGAATCTAATTCTAATCGGGACTCAAAACAAAAAGTCACCAAGGAAGATATGGGTTGACACAAGGGACCAGTGCAATGAAAAGCCTAGATTGGTTGACATCGTAGTACAGGGATCCTCAAACTAAGGCCCGGGGGCCAGATGTGGCCCTCCATGGTCATTTACCCGGCCCTCGCTCTGGGTCAACCTAAGTATGAAACTCCTTGAAAGCACACAACAACAACAACAACAACAACAACAACAACAACAATTCTATCTCATCAGCCAAAAGCAGACCCATAGTTTCCACTGAAGTACTAATAAGTTTATAATTGTTCTTCATTTTAATTATTGTATTGTTTTTAAATGCTTTTTGCACTACAAATAAGATATTTGCAGTGTGCATAGGAATTCATTCATGGTTTTTGCTAATTATAATCCGGTCCGCCAACAGTTTAAGGGACTGTGACCTGGCCCTCTGTTTAAAAAGTTTGTGGACCCCTGTTGCAGTATGACTGATTGTATTACTTATGACCGCCTGCCAATCCAAAGATCCTATTCTTGGGTAGAAGAAGAAGAAGAAGAAGAAGAAGAAGAAGAAGAAGAAGAAGAAGAAGAAGAAGAAGAAGAAGAATCATCTCTCCCCAAGCCCAAAAATTACAGATAAGAGCAACCACATTAAAATCAAGCTTAACACAACCACAACAACAACATCACAAACAGCTATTTTGATTTAATAGGAGGGGTTAATCCCCTTCAGAATGCCTTCAGAATGGCATTTCCTGGCATAGGAATGGTGCACTGTGGCCTCCCAGATGTTTCCTTGACTATAAAAATGTTACTTTTCTTGTGATTTGCATAATGATTTTTGAAAATACATTCTATTAACTTTTACAGCACAAAACCTATGTAACTAAACTAATGACTACAACTTCATGGAGAGCCGCATGATTAATCTTACAGCAAGGAAGCTATTAACTGTATAAATGGAAATATCCATCACATAGGAAAAGCATATCAAGAGAAAGTGTCTGTTCAGCCCAAGCCAGGGTTTTATAAAGTGATTGGAAGTTCATCATCAAGGCAAAAAGGCAACAGTTCATTGCTGTGTTTGGTCCCTGGTGCTAAACTGCCTCTGTGGATGTTGCATAGAATCAAAGAGTTGGAAGAGACCTCATGGGCCATCCAGTCCAACCCCCTGCCAAGAAGCAGGAATATTGCATTCAAAGCACCCCTGACAGATGGCCATCCAGCCTCTGTTTAAAAGTTTCCAAAGAAGGAGCCTCCGCCACACTCTGGGGCAGAGAGTTCCACTGCTGAATGGCTCTCACAGTCAGGGATCTCCTTTCTTGTAGTTTGAAGCCATTGTTTCGCGTCCTAGTCTCCAGGGAAGCAGAAAACAATCTTGCTCCCTCCTCTCTGTGGCTTCCTCTTATATATTTATTTATACATGGCTATCATATCTCCTCTCTGCCTTCTCTTCTACAGGCTAAACATGCCCAGCTCTTTAAGCTGCTCCTCATAGGGCTTGTTCTCCTGACCCTTGATCATTTTTGTCGCCCTCCTCTGGACACTTTCCAGCTTGTCAATATCTCTCTTCAATTGTGGTGCCCAGAATTGGACACAATATTCCAGGTGTGGTCAGACAAAGGCAGAATGGAGGGGTAGCATGACTTCCCTGGACCTAGACACTATCCTCCTATTGATGCAGGCCACAATCCCATTGGCTTTTTTTTGCTGCTGCATCACATTGTTGGTTCACGTTTAACTTGTTGTCCACAAGGATCCCAAGAGTTTTCAGAAAGCAGTGACTTCCTGACTGGACAAAAGTGTGTTATGTGGGCCTCAAAAAGTTGAGAGCCCTGACTGAATGCATACAAGTGGCCAGTAGAACATTCAAAGTATGGGGGTTAAACCAACAAAAACTTCCCTCCCAGATTTTGCAGGAAAGGGGTTCAACCCTTGTCTTAGAGCAGTGGTTCTCAACCTGTGGATTTCCAGATGTTTTGGCCTTCAGCTCCCAGAAATCCTAACAGCTGGTAAACTGGATGGGATTACTGGGAGTTGTAGGTGAAAACACATGGGGACCCATAGGTTGAGAATCGCTGTCTTAGAACCTCAGTATGGATCTCAATGAAGAGAAGCATCCTCTGTTAATTTGTCTGATACGCTTTCAGAAAGCCACCTAAGATAGTGTCCAGGGCCACATCTTGTAGTAATCAGTTCTCTTGCTAAATTACACTATGCAACATAATTTGAAACATCTTTTGATTCCGGTTTGAAAGTGTTATTCCCTGTTTAAATGTGTGGTACTTACTTTGAAAGTCATTGTTATACTCCAGAAACTTCTTTTTGTTGTTGTTGCTGCTGCGGGTAGTAATATTATTTCCTTCAGTCAAGCCACTTTGTAATTTTCCTAAATGAACATACACCATTTTAAACCTTTCAATGTGCACACCGCAACAAAGATTTTGCAGTTTAATCAACTTTTTCCATGTTTTTATGATAGAACCAATTAGTAATCCAAGAACAAAAATTGTGTTAAAAAATCTTATTGTTACACACTGAGAGCAACTCTTGATCAACACAAGGCAAAATTACCATGAAGTCTAAGCAAAGCTGAAATATCAAACCCTCAACTTCATCAGGAAAGATAGGAGCTCCCGTGGCGCAATGGGTTAAACCTTTGTGCCAGCAGGATTGAAGACCAACAGGTTGGAGGATTGAATCCAGGGAGAGTGAGGATGAGCTCCCTCTGACAGCTCCAGCTTCCCATTCAGGGGCATGAGGGAAGCATCCCACAAGGATGGTAAAACATCAAAACATCCCGGCTCCCCTGGTCAATATCCTTCCAGGCGGCCAATTCTCTCACACCAGAAGTGACTTGCAGTTTCTCGTCGCTCCTGACACAAAAAAAAATAAGAAAAGATCTGAGAGCTACCTTCATTGCCTCATATAAACAGATGGACAGGTAGAACAGTGGGGTTTGTTTGTTTTTTGTTTTTTTTTTACAGATTTTAACCTTCACAGATTTCATTGTCTATGCTACTTCCATGCAAATAAAGTGGGGAAAATCCATAAATATTTCTCTGAGGGTTTTTCAAATGTGTACATTAATGCATGCTTTAAAGAACATATTATATACTGACTAGTGCCAATCTGAGTGAATTCTTAAAAAGTATCCAGTTAGACTTTCAAAGCACTGCATATTTACCAATGTATATACATTATTTAATCTTTATCTCCTCCTTGCAAAAAATGTATGCTAAGCTCAGAATTGAATTGTACCCTATGTTTAGTTCAGGTGGCACGGAATTGGACAAATCAATTTTTGAAAAACCATTTAACCTAGAAAATTGATCTCAAATACCTGTATTCAACACTGGCCAGATCATATCCCATGGATTTGGCTGATTAAATGTCCCTTTATTCCTTCCAGTCTCATAATGGAAGCAGCTCCTTGAAAGAGCAAATGTATTGTATTTCATGACTTTCTCCTATCAATCCTAACTTGCTCTGGGTTTAAAGTCACAAAACTGTAACAAACAATGAATCAGGCAACAATTTCAAACACTGCAACAAGTAGACTAGAGGTTCATATGGAGCAGACATTTTGATCACAAAAGTCTTAAGAGCTGGACTGTGTTATCCATCAAAATCTAGAGCTATTCCACACCGCTCTGCAAAATCAATGGCGTTTGACTTAAAGACTTCATTTAAGTGCCCGAATCAGTCTGTTAACACAGAAGAGGATTTTCTGTTTTCTCACAAAGATGACAAAAAGTCAGTTTTGCTCTTTAAAAAGCAGCAGGTTTGAAATGTGAGTGTGCATGATTTCTGTTTGCAGGAAAGGTTTTATGGCAAGCACTCAGCGAACCTAGGTGATGCTTATCCTTTCAGCAATCTGTGATAGAATGGCTAGCCGAGTGTAGCTCAAATATAGTGCCAGGTCTGGATAAGAAGCTAATGTAGACCATTTATTATGTGCCTTTTGGAGTCTACATTCAAAGATAGCATGCAAATAGGCACTATACTTGCCAGCATCAGAGTGAGGAATTAATAAGATACATGTCCTTCTGGCTATTTATTGCTGCTCTCTAGAAAGCCAAAATAAATAGGGCACATTGCCTAGAATGGTAACATTGTCTGCATATTTAAGGTGTTCTAATGAACTTCGGGTCCAATCTAATTGAGACCAAGCTTTTTTAACATGTCCCATTGGCCAAGAATTAAGCATGTCTTTAATTCTCTGCCACACAAACCAATGGAAGAGACCAAAAAGGCCATTCACTTCAACCCCCTGCCAGGAACACACAACCAAATCACTCCCAACAGATAGCCATCCATCCTCTGTTAAAAAACCTTCAGAGAAGAAGATTCCACCTCATTCCAGGGCAGCATATTCTACTGCTGAACAATTCTTATTCTCAGGAAG